GCAATGACGTAGCCGAACGAGACGAGCATGCTCATCATGATGAAGAGCGTGCCGCGGTTGGGCGCGTCGACGTCAAAGTACTTTTCGAGGTCCCCCGGGAGAAGCTTGGCCCGCGCCGTGTCGCACGTCTTGGGGTTGGTCGTCAAGCGGCGGTCGCAGTACGGCTTGCCGAACGGCGTGAACGTCATGACCGCAAGACAGATCATCGTGATGGTCCAGCCAATGAGCATCCACGACTTGCGGCGGTAGCCCATGATGGGCACGCAGTCCGAGAGCATGCCAAAGAAGACCTTGAACGACCAGCCCGTCGTGACGAGCACGCCGTAGGACGCGGTCTGGTAGCCTTCCATGCCGAGGTACACCGTGTAGAGCGGGTAGACCAAGGTCGGGATCATGCCGTAGATGACGCCGATCGCACCGTACTGCGAAAAGAGACCAAACGCCTCGCGCGAAAAGAGGTGCAGCGCACCACCTTCAACCAACGCGCCGTCTTCGAGCTCACCGGGCGTCTTGGCATCAGCGTACCCGGCGCCGTTGGCGTCCTTCTCGTGCGTGTTGGACTGGATGTAGGAGACGCGCTCCTCGAGGTCCATCTTGCCTTGCACTTGATGCGCCATGCTGGGCAAATGTAAAAGTGTGTTGGGGCATTGGTTCGATGATCGGCGTTTCTGAGCCGTTGAGGCGGTCCGCGTCTGGGGTTCTGAGAAGGGGAACGTCAAAAGGTAAACAAACTCAGATGACGACATCTGGTGTGACGTTCGTTGACAGCAAAGAATTTCGAATGGGTACAAGTTGTTCAAGAATGGGCGTGCGAGCTAGGGCGTGCGTTGCTCGATTCGGCTGGCACATCATTGGTTTACATATCGAAGTGAGTTATTGTGATGATGAATATGGTGGACTTCGTTATGCATTCGTGAGGCAAGGCCAGTTCGTCAAGCGGAGGCCGCTTGGTTACGACTCGGATTGTGCGAGGAGCGAGATAGCGAGCACTAACAAAATGGGTGCTGTTTGCGGTCAGACTTGAGTGTGGCGCAGGGTGGGAGGACATCATAAGCAGCGGGTACCATGAACATAAAATTGGACTTCAATTTTTTGCCTCCGGACACGTCCTTACAGAGAGGCAGACAGGCTGCAGAAGGAGACAAGTGGTTGAACAAGCAGTCTACCGGTATTAGCCGGTATTCTGTGTATCGACCCTATATAGGGTTTATCATGCAAGGGCTTGCACTTTCGACTTGACAAGCGCTCTATAAGTGTGTATAGTTGAGACCACCCACGTCAGTGAGTAAAACCTCTGCACTTGACAGCCTTGCTCAACCGCAGAGTGGCGTTCGAAGGTAAAAGATACCTCGTGACACACCCATGCTGTTCTCAGATGTGTTGATTTGACGACGACGGGCTACGCACAGCACCAAGAAATGATAACGACCAAGTCCCACGCCAGCGCACCCATATCTAAGCCGAGTGCTTGCCTGCAGTTCAAATGCCGAATGCAATCCAGATAGCTGTGAATTTATTTGGGCATAAATGACTCGGAACTGTTTTAGTTCAGGTGCAGTTTTTGCACCGGGAGAGCTTTCAAGAAGAGCCGTAACCGCGAGGCGTCGTGCTCAAGTCACCACAGCCGTGCTCAGGTTCAGCCCCGTCGAGAGCGGGCCAGACCATCTGACACCGTTGTCAGCCTGGAATCGGAGTGGACGGGAAGGCTTGCACGAGTTTCCTGTCTCTGCTCTGCTTTTTAAGAGCGTCAAAAGGCAAAGAAGGCCAACGACCGTGGGTGGCTGGTGCCAGCTGGCACCGATGGCGCAGGAGGCAATTAGTTGAGCATGTGATATCTATGCGCATCATCTTCACAGTACCACTATCATTCGTTCTGGCTGCATGTTCACATCTGGATGCATGCCTCTGCAGCGAGGCTCAGCAAGCTTGTAAAATAACATACCGACAAAGAATTATTGAATCCCCAGCAACAAGCGCGCATTTCGCTTCGTCGCCGGATTGGTTTTATTAAAAAGCACAGTGAGGCGACTATGACATATGGCGACACGTCATGATGGGTACAGCTCCACGGCGGCAACGTTCGCTCGCAAAGAAGTCAGCCACAGTGCAATTATTGTTCAAGGGCTTCGTCGCCCATTCCCATGCCAACAAGCGACGCAAGCAGTGACGCCGAGGCGCATCGCTCGCGCTACCGAGCCTACTATGCAAGAAACCGGGCGTCGATTTTGGCCCGCATGCGGGAGCGGTACGCCGACAATCGAGAGCTCGAGCATGACCGCCAGCGCGACAAATATTTGCGCCGAAAAGCCCGCCGGAAATTGT